TCCAGACATGTACCCATGCTATTGTTAGTGGATACAGTATATTCTCAATAAATTTTGGGGGGTTATTTTATTTATTTACATCTCAAATGTTATCCTCCTTCTCAGGTTCCTCTCCACAACCCCCCCCATCTCTTCCCTATTCCTCCCTCCTCCTGATTTTATGAGGGTGCTCCCCCACCCACCTACCCACTCCTGGCTTAGTGCCCTAGAATTTCCCTACACTTGGGCATCAAGCCTCCACAGGACCAAGGGGCTCTCCTCCCAGTGTTGCCAGATATGGCAATTGTCTGCTTTGTATGTGGCTGGATCCGTGAGTCCCTCCATGTGTATTCTTTGGTTTGTGGTTTAGTCTCTGGTGGCTTGGGTGGGAGGGCTGGTGCTGGCTGTTTGATATTGTTGCTTTTCCTATGAGGTTGCAAACCCCTTCAGATCCTTCAGTCCTTCCCCTAACTCTAGCTCCATTAGGGTCCCCGTGCTCAGTCCAATGGTTGGCTTCAAGCATCCACAACTGTATTTGTCAGGCTCTGGCAGAGCCTCTCAGGAGATAGCTATACCAGGCTCCTGTCAGCAAGCACTTCTTGGCATCCCCAATAGTGTCTGGGTTTGATGTCTGCAGATGGGATGAATCCCTAGGTGAGGCAGTCTCTGGATGGCCTTTCCTTCAGTCTCTGCCCCATTCTTTGTCTGTGCATTTCCTTTTGACAGGAATGATTCTGGATTAATATTTATGAGATGGGCTGGTGGCCTCATCTCTCAGAGGGGGCCATGCCTATCCACTGGTTACGGTATCTACAGGTTTTATCTCCCCTTTGTTGGACATTTCAGCTAATGTCATCCCTGTTGGGTCCTGGGAATCTCCTGAGTCCCTGGCATCTGGGACTTTCTGGTGGCTACCCCCAGTTCCCATCCCCCACTGCTACACACCTCCATTCAAATTCCTGACACTCTATACTTTTCCTCCCCCATCTGAACCTGCCCCCTTTTTCCCAACCTTTCCCCCATCCCTCCCAGATCTCTCCTTCCCTTTACCTCCTGAGATTATTTTCTTCCCCCTTCTGAGTAGGAATGAAGCATCCATACTTTTGTCTTCCTTCTTCTTGGGTTTCATATGGTCTGTGAGTTATATCTTTAGTATTGTGAGCTTTTGAGCTAAAATCCACTTATCAGTGAGTGCATACTATGTGTATTCTTTTGTGACAGTGTTACCTCATTCAGGATGATATTTTCAAGTTCCATCCATTTGCCTGTAAATTTCATGAAGTCATTGTTTTTAATAGCTGAGTAGTACTCTATTGTGTACATGTACCACATTTTCTGTGTTCCATTCTTCTGTTGAGGGATATCTGAGTTGAGGGATTTCCAGCTCTGGCTATTATAAATAAGGCTGCTATGAATATAGTGGAGCATGTGTCTTTGCTATATGTTGGAGAATCTTTTGGGTATATACCCAGGAGTGGTATAGCTTGGGCCTCAGGTAGAACTATTTCCAGGAGGAACTGCCAGACTGATTTCCAGTGTGGTTGTACCAGCTTGCAATTCCATCAACAATGTAGGAGTATTTCTCTTTCTCCACATCTTCACCAGCGTCTTCTGTCATCTGACTTTTTGATATTAGCTATTCTGATTGGTGTGAGATGGGATCTCGGGATCATTTTGATTTGCATTTCCCTGATGACTAAGGATGATGAGCATTTCTTTTAGTGTTCTCAGCCATTCTGGATTCCTCAGTTGAGAATTCTTTGTTTTGCTCTGTACCACATCTTTTAATAGGGTTATTTGGTTCTCTGGAGTCTAACTTCTTGATTTCTTTATATTCTTTGGATATTAGCCCTATATCAGATATATGGTTCATAAAGATCTTTTCCAAGTCTCTGGGTTGTCGTTTACGACAGTATTGACAGTGTCATTTGCCTTTCAGTAACTTTTCAATTTTATGAGGTCCCATTTGTTAATTGTTGATCTTAGAGCATAAGCCATTGGTGTTGACATCAGGAGATTTTCCTCTATACTAAATGTGTTTGAGGTTCTTTTTTACTTTCTCTTCTTTTAGATTTAGTGTATGTGGTTTTATATAGAGGTCCTTGATCCACTTGGACTTGAGCTATTTACAAGTAGATAAAAATGCATCAATTTTCGTTCTTTTATATGTGAAGTTGGGATTTTGATGGGGATTGCATTGAATCTGTAGATTGCTTTTGGTAAGATGGCCATTTTTACTATGTTAATCCTTCTGATCCATGAGCATGTGAGATCTTTCCATCTTCTGGTGTCTTCTTCGATTTCTTTCTTCAGAGTCTTGAAGTTCTTGTCATACAGATCTTTCACTTGCTTGGTTAGAGTTACATCAAGATATTTTATATTATTTGTGACTATTGTGAAGGGTTTCATCTCCCTTATTTCTTTCTCAGCCTGTTTAACCCTTGAGAATAGGAAAGCTACTGATTTGTTTGAGTTAATTTTTATATCCAGACACTTTGCTGAAGTTGTTTATCAGCTGTAGGAGTTATCTCTTAGATATTTTGGGGGTTGCTTATGTATACTATCATTTCATCTGCAAATAGTGGTATCTTGACTTCCTCCTTTCCAATTTATATCCCTTTGATCTCCTTTTGTTGCCTAATTGCTCTGGCTAGAACTTAAGGACCAATGATTGTTGCTTCCTGTTATTTTTATTGTTTGAGGTGGAATTATATTTATATGGCTATCTTCTTTTGGTTTGTTTTGAGATTAATTTCTTGCTTAATCTTGGGTGTAGTTAACCTCCTTGTGTTGGAGTTTCCCTTCTATTATCTTTTGTAGGACTGGATTGGTGGAAACATATTGTTTACATTTTGTTTTGTCATGGAATATCTTGGTTTTTCCATCTGTGGTAATTGAGAGTTTTGCTGAGTATAGTTGCCAGGGGGTGGTATTTTTGTTCTCTTAGAATCTGTATGATATCTGCCCGAGATCTTCCGGCTTTTACACTCTATGTTGAGAAATCTTGTACAATTCTGATAGGCCTGCCTTTATATGTTTCTTGACCTTTTTCCCTTACAGTTTTTAGTATCCTTTCTTTGTGTTGTGCATTTGGTGTTTTGATTATTATGTGACAGGAGGAATTTCTCTTCTGGTCCAATCTGTTTGGTGTTCTGTAACCTTCTCGTATGTTTATGGGCATCTCTTTCTTTAGGTTAGGGACATTTTCTTCTATAATTTTGTTGAAGATGTTTACTGGCCCCTTGAGTTGGAAGACTTTGATCGCTTCTATATCTAGTATTCTTAGGTTTGGTCTTTTCATTGTGTTCTGGATTCCTTGAGTGTTTTGAGTTAGGAGCTTTTTGCTTTTTGTATTTTCTTTGACTGTTGTGTCAATGCCTTCTATAGTATCTTCTATGCCTAAGATTCTCCCTTCTATCTCTTGTATTCTGCTGGTGATGCTTACATCTCTGACTCCTGATCTCTTTTGTAGGTTTTCCATCTCCAGGGTCTCCCTTTGTGTTTTCTGTAATGTTTCTATTTCCATTATTAGATCCTGGATGATTTTGTTCAATTCTTCACCAGTTTGATTGTGTTTTCTTGTTTTTCTTTGAACAATTTATGTGTTTCCTCTTTAAGAGCTTTTACATGTTTACCTGTGTTCTCCTGTATTTCATTAAGAGAGTTATTTATGTCCTTCTTAAAGTCCTCCGTCATATTCATGAGATGGGATTTTTAGATCTGAATCTTGCTTTTCAGGTGTGTTGGGCTATCCAGGGCTTGGTGTGGTGGGATAACTGGGTTCTTATGTTGTTTAGTAGCATTGGTTTCTGTTTCTTAAGTTCTTGACCTTCCCTCTCATCATTTGGTTATCTCTAGTGCTAACTGGCTTTGCTGTCTCTGACTGGAGCCTGTCCTTCCTGTGAGCTTGGTTGTATCAGAACTCCTGGGAGTCTAGCTGTCTCTGTGACCCTGTGATTCTGGGATCCTGTGATTCTGAGAACCTGGGTGTGGCAAAGCTCCTAAGAGTCTAGCTGCCTCTGAAATCCTGAGACCCTGGTGTTTCTGAGTTTCAAGTTTCCTCTAGGTGTTATAGGAATGGATGGGGGATCATAGCCCTTAATCCTCTCTAGGCACAAGTGCAAAAAGGAATGAATGTGTGCCTCTGGCTGGCCAGGGGTTCCTAGGTCCCTGGGTATGGGGGAGGGGCTCACAGTTATGCTGAGTGTTGTGCTTTCATATGAGATCTTGGTTTGGCAGAGCTCCTGGGAGCCAAGCTTCCTCTGGGTGTTGTAGGAGTGGGTGGGGAGCCTAATCCCTGGGTCTGCTCAGGGCACGAAGAATTGTGTCAATAAGTATTATTATTAGAATAATAGAAAATACCCTGAGCTATTAAAAGTGATAATAGAATTCTAGAATTAGTTGGTCTCTGCGAAAATTTCAGTTTAAAATTATAGGACAATATATACAATAGATACTCAAAAATTGTATACAGTGATATTTGTCATGTAAAAACCCTGTGCATCTGTCCTCCATGCTATTTACTATTGCTGTCTTCACAGAGCAGCAGTGAGTGGATTTCCATTACTCTTAGATGAGTAATGATCATGCTTTATGCCAAGGTCTTTGTGTTTGTCTGTATTTGTGTTTCCACTTACTTATTTTTGTCTTTTAGTGTTTCTGCTCTAAGAAAATCAGGATCTTTGATCATTTCTATCACAAATGTGTAAAAATAACTTAAAAAGTAGAAGAATCTTTGATTTTTCTAAGTGTACTTTGTGTTCTTCTCTGTATTCCCTACTTCAGAGAAAGATTATCTTGGTAACCATCCAGTGGGTTTTATAGGTGAGGGAATTCAGCAACTCATATGGCCATTTTAATTTTATCACTGAAGTATGGCATCTTGTTTGCCTTAAGAAAAAATAATATCGTGCTCTGGTGTGTCTTTCTTTATAGTGCAGCTTCCAGTCTGGTTGAAAGGAATCTATTGCTGTTCCTAAGAATATGCTCTAGAAACATCAATATTTTTGTTTTCTCGACAGGTCCTCTCAAGTCCTGAGTAAATAAGTGGTTTGTGCCTGTTCCAACGGCAGAGCAGAACCCAGCAGTGGTCCTGTCAGGTGGATGTACTGATTTCCTATTCTGACACCTAGAGAAGACTCCATCAGAGATCGCTGCAATGTCGGTATCCAATCTATCATGGTGAGTGAGTTACATTCTAATCTCAAGAACAAATACATGTATGCAGGAAGCAGGATTTTGTGATAGTTCCCCTATCGAAACCTGGGCATAGAACTCTAAAAATGGTCTTTTTCAGATTGTCTTATGTAAGAGTGAGAAGAGATCTTTTTTCTTCTTAATTTACTTTTAAGTAATTTTGTATATAGTTACTTTAATCATCCTGTCCCTTTCTCCTCCCCTCAGGTCTTTGTGTTGATCACTCCTCAAATTAATGACTGCATATTCTTTATTATTGTTACATATATACATTGATAGCACTTGCTGGGTTATTTAGTGTTGCTCATATTCATATCTGTGTTTAGGACTGACCAAATGGGATTAGATAATCTACTAGGGGTTCATCTTTGGATTCTTTCTCTATTTCGGTAGCTATTGCTTACCTGTAGCACTTCGTCTAGGGGTGGGGTCCTGTGAGGTTTCTACCATCCACATTTAACTCTTTCAGTAATATGACATCTGGGGACTCTAGAAGTTTTCTCATCAGTTTCTCTTTTCTTTAGGCTTCATGTCTCAAAAAAACAAAACAAAACAAAAAAAAGAACTACCTAAAAGGAAACTAAAAAGAACTCAAAATGCCATTGTAGATCCATATTTCCAAATAGCTCCATTGTACCTCACCTTTGGCATTTTGTTCCTGCTTAATCCTGACGGTGTCAATAAAAATAAGAAATTAGAAGATAATTATCTGTGACTCAGCAACTTCTGTATACCAGTGAGGAATAGTAGTATCCAGGGATGACTCTGAATACCAGGATTCTTTTCAATGTAAAGAAATGAAACTGTAAAATATTTAAATATAAAGAAAGAAAACTGTCAGTATTTATTACAAGACTATAAGAAAAGTCTGTTAACTCCCAAGTTCTTTAAGAACTCATTCCACATTTTTCGGCAAACAGAAATGGAATCAGAGCCAGGATTTCCTTGCTGATTTGTTATAGCTCTCTGAATTCATTTTTAGATAAGTAAGGGATTTATTTAGGGGAAAGGGTATAATTATTTGTTTAAATTTAGTGCAGTGTTCTGAAGAACTTAATTCTTAATAGCTTCCATAGAATGTGTCCTTGGATTATTAGGCCTGAGTGCTGAGTGCCTCATTTGGATGGATAAATAGATAAAGAAATAGAATTAGGAGGTGTAAAATATATTCTGTACACCACTAATGAAACACTTAAATGGGAGATTATCAGTATAGAATGTAATTTACTTTTATTAAAATAAAATTATCGATTTTAAAAGAAATTTTAATTTCTCCAAGACTTGAGAATCTTTTCAAGCCTGTAAAAAATGCTGACCCATTATTTAAAAAAGAAAGAATTTTACCCTGGCAACAGTGTGGGAAATCAATCTTCAAAGACCATACACATTCTAAAGAAAGGAAAGTATTTGCCACTCAAGCAAAATGACCTCAGTTCAAATCCTCAGCGCCCATGTGTGGAATATTGAGCTTGGTTGTGCATTCCTATAATTTCTGGCCTAGGAGATGGAAACAGGACAATGTGTGGGGCGTATGGTCACTCTACCTGAACTGATGATCTCAAAAACTTAGGTGCAGAGCAACTGAAGAAGACAACCAGTGTCAACTTCTGACTTCCATATGTATGTGTACAGATACACATGTACACTCACACATAGGAACAGAAGATTAAATAAAATAAACGGAAAACAAATACTGCATCAAGGAAGGTGGGTGATCGGGGGGCAGAGACGGGAGAGGAGGCAGAGGAGGGATTAAGGAAGAGATCCTTGGTCTCATGAAAGCTGGATGCCCCAGTGGGTGGGAATTTGAGGGTCGGGAGGTGGGAGCAGAGGGGGGTTATGTAGGGGCACATCCGCAGAGAAGCAGGAGGAGGGGTAATTGGATAGGGGGTTCCTAGGTGGTGGTGGGGGAATGGGGTAAGGGGAGAACATATGAAATATAAATGAAACATCCAATAAAAAAAGAAAGCTGAAAATATGGAGGAATATAAAGAAATGGAGGAGGAAAGAGACTGGTAGCAGTGGCATTAGGAGGATGAAGAGATTAAAGCAGATGTGACTGTCAAATCTCAGGATCTGGTGAGTGTGACCCAGTACACAGACGCAAAGCAGGGCTGACACAGGCACCTGTCTTAGGGAGCCTCACTTCATCCTGCTGTGGTGGGCTGATTTGATTTAAGGTCACCTGAAACAAGGTGAGCTTCAGCAAGAGAGATAGTCCATCATTGCAGGCTAATTGTCTGTCAAGGCTCTCACAAGTTGGTAGGTGTTCTGCAAATAGATGCTGTGGTGATGAGTGAAAGAAATGCAAAACAGGCAATTTAATGAAAACCCATCCCTTCATTCTAAAGGAGAAATCTAAATTTAGAGCACACTGCTAGAGTCCAACACGTCTGAAATAGTCAAAGATGTGCATGCTGTCGGTCTGAAGGTGGGAGGAATGATGCCAGGATGCAGTAATTCAAGTCTGTCCACCTTAGGTTCCTATAGAGAGAGAGCTTCAGCTGTTTCATCAATATCACCACCATGCAGCTATGGCGTCCTCCCTCTTAGCATCTGAGCTGCCTCTTTCTGGTAACATGGACCAGGTAATGAGTCCTGGGTATTCATTCAAGTTAAGCCACAAGTCATGATTCTTACTCTTGTAAGAAGTGACTAACCCTTTCCATATTAATTCCTGTAAATTTTCATATCCCCTAACAACTGTACTCTGTATTTTGAGGGAACACGATCCTGTAAATATTTACTTAGGGATGTAGAGCAGCTTACCAAGTTTCAGTGAAAACTGTCCATACAGTTCCATGAATTTAATGGAATTTTTGTTGTTTGATGATATGGCTCTGTTTTGAAGTCCAGAAACAAAAACTGCCTCACTCTGGAAATAAGTGGTATTGTCCGATTTTTAATGGGCATGTACTATTTGAGTGCGTGGATACCTGAGTTGTTTTAACAAGTGTGTTCCCTGTTGTGGAGAAGAAACCTGCAGGGGAAACTAAGTCTTCAGTGTGCTGATGATAGTAACTGTAGCAAAGGGAGACCTGTGTTTCCAAGATTCAAAGCCACAAGGAGAGGACTCCTTGTTACTCCTGTAACAAGGTTGATTCTCAAAACAGCTTCTGCTTGGATGTGAATAGCAATCCTATTGTGCTTTATGGTTCTTCCAAGTAGTACTTTTGAAAGCCTTTCTTATGCCTGTTCTTCTTGTTAATTTTAGTACTGAGTTCACAGTGAAATCTCATGACAGGGTTGGTGCGATGTCACCGGTATCTGCTATCTGATGACCAGTGTTTGGTCCCCAGAATGCATATAGAAGAAGGGAGAATCCTGCACGTTGTCCTGTTGCATCTACCTGTATGAGGTAGGGTGTGTGTTTTAACATATGTACACACGTACTAAATTAGCATATGCACATAACAAAATAAGTAAATAAATAAATTTTAAAAGCACATGCCATTCTGTCATTGCCTGCCTACTATAATATTATATTCAACCTTAATAACCATTTCCTGATTTTAACAGTAAACACTTATGTAATGCATGTTTATGTGTGGAACCTTGACCCCAGTTCCCACACTAAAATAGGAATGAAGAAAATGTAAGCTAAGACATTTAAACTCATTTCTACAACTATCCAAACAATAATCTTAACTTTTAAATATCCAGTATAAGAAAACTTTTTATTCACATAGATTCAAAAAAGCCTTTCTTTTCTAGTAGTTATATACATGTATGACACTTGTTTAACACACACATACACACACACACACAGACACACACACCCAGACACACACATACACACACCTCTAAAAAGCATGAGGCATTATAATGCTTCTAGATTTTCAGGAAACTCTGGTTTCAGTCATCGAGGAGAGCAATGGGAATTGATTATAAGATTTCTGTAGAGATAAAAACAATAATTTCAAGAGCCTTTCTGTTTAGCTCGTATTTATCAGATGGAGACAATGGCTGAGGTGATGCTGCTCAGGAGAAAATGAAGAGATGCTCAGGATAACTTGCAGATTTTCACGAGTAGGTGGCAACTTCAGCAATATGACATGGGCCAAGGAAAACGGAGTGGGCTTCAGGCAGGAATCTAAATCCTAGGCTAGAACAGGGAAGTAATTTCAGACAGGAATCTAAATTTTAGGCTAGAACAAAGAAGTAGGCTTCAGACATGAAAATGACTTTGGGCTTGGACAGGGAAGTTGGCTTAGATATTTTGGTCATTCTGATAAGCCCTTAAAAACAGTGATCATGGGAGTGTTCATGAATTCTGTTTATTGCCTTGCTTATTCTTTGACTGTTTGTGTTTATTGTCTTGCTTGTTCCTTGACTATTTGCATCTATTGTATTGCTACTCCCTCAACCTAGAACTGACCTGAATACTTATATGTAATTAAAATGGTATAAAAGCAAAAAGGAGGAGGGGGAATGGGAGAGGGAGTTCTAGGGAGGGGAAATGAGGGAAGGGGATGGTATCCGAAATGTAAATAAATAAAATATCCAATAAAAGAAAAGATCTGTAGAAAAGAAATATCTTTGGTAGCAGACATAATTAACAGGAGACACAGGAAGCTCTAAATCAGCAAAAAGGAGACTCATGCCTGCAACACAAAGGAGGTGGTGTGAAGCCAGTGAGTGCTTCCCAGGACTAAACAGCCTTCTTAATTCTCATCAGTTCCCATGGTTTGCATTTTATAACTTGGATATTTATATCCACCCTGCAGTTAAACTGTGTGACTTTTGTCAAGTTTAGTGAACATTATCAAGAGTGAATGTTTGCCTTGCCTTTACTATGCACACGGTACTGCTGGAGAATTTCCAACTATTAACTTAGAATTGCCACTTTCTTAGGTATGTCACGTGTATTTATGTGAATAGGAGCAGTGAGGCACAGGATCCTAAGTAACATGCCCAACATGATAAAGCTACTTAGAAATGGGGTACTAATTGCTTAGTTCTGGTTGCTACCCATTCCAAAACTA